TAAATGGCAAAATGTTAGTCCAAAAAATAATGCGAGAAGGTATTATTGGACTACAATGAATAGGGATTGCCATCAATAAGTAAAAAGATGCCCTAAGTGCCAAATTTATGCCAATTTACAACATGTTCCTCCGTCCTTTCTCTACACCTACACATCGCCATGGCCATTCTTTATGTGGGGAATCGACATCATCGGCAAAATCACTCCCCTGGAACAGGAGGCCACGAATATATCTTAGTAGCGATTGATTACTTCACAAAGTGGGTCGAAGCGTAATCATACGCTAAACTCACTGCAAAACATGTAGCAGTCTTTATCGAAAGAAATATTATTTGTCGATACGGAGTCCCACATGAAATGATAAGTGACAATGGAACTCACTTTAAAGCCGAATGTGAAGAATTGCTACAAAAATACGGCATTCAACATCATCATTCTTCCCCTTATATACCTCAAGCAAATGGAGCAGTCGAGGCAGCTAATAAAAACCTAAAGACTATCATCGAGAAAATGACGGAAAATTATAAGGATTGGACTGAAAAAATTCACTTCGCATTGTGGGGTTACCGCACGTTAATTCGCACATCAACAGGAAATATGTCATTTTCCTTGGAATATGGAATGGATGTCGTACAACCTGTCGAACTAGAAATACCATCTCTACGCATTGCGTTAGAGAGTAAACTCGATGAAGTTGAATGGACTAGGGCAAGATATGAAGAATTAATTCTACTCGATGAGAAACGACTAGAAGCTCTACATCACACTCAGTGTTATCAAACTCGCATGGCTAGGCATTTTAATAAGAAGGTCAAGACAAGAAACATCAAAGTAGGAGACTTGGTGTTAAAAGCATTAAGGAAAAATATTTTAGATCCAAGAGGATATTTAGACCTAATTGGTCTGGACCCTACATTGTTAAAACAATCATGTCAGGGGGTGCAGCAAAACTAACTTATATGGATGGCAATGAGTTGTCGAACATGACAAATCTTGACCAACTTAAGAAATACTACCCATAATTACTTAAGTAGGATACTCAAGAGAGCTACGTTTGGCCTGATTCCTTAAGAAAGATATGTAGGCAACCCTTTACGTGTGCGACAACCTTATTTTTCAACATTCTCGCGCCCCTGAATTAATGTAAAGTTAGATAGAAAATCGGCGAAATATTGGCGCCGCAGAGGAAGCTTTAGCGCCAGCCAACAACCATCAGTGCCAACCGACGGAATTGGCACCTGGCGCCAGACTTCCCTGTCAGGCGCTAGTCGCAAATAAGTGGCGCCAATTCGCAGATAAATTCTGGGTAAATTTCGGTGTTTTTCAGAAAATTTTCGACTTCCGTACTCGAAGAATTTCTGGAAAATTAATTATTTTTGTTTTCATTGCATTAATAAAATAAATTTAAAGTACAAGCTAAAATTTCATTAATAAAATAAAATTGAAATTAAGCAATGTTCCTAATCTTTCTTTTCTTTCCTAGCCCTTTTCCAATTTTTGTCTGCTTCCTCCTCCTCATCCATAACCTTAGCTAGTAGGCATCCTTTAGAGGACCTACATTCAATCTTAGAGTAGATAGTCTCCCCTTCAGCTAGGACTCCATGCTTCTTTTCTACCCAAGCTTTTTTCTCTGTGGTGTCAGCTTTCCTCTTTCCCTTATATTTTGTAGTACATTTCTTCCTAGGCATTGCAGGTGTTTTGAATTCAACTCTTGCACCTAAGCGTTCCTTGGCAGGAATCACCCTTTCACCTAGACGACTCTTCACATCAGTTTTACTCTGATCTTTCTTCGTATCCTTCGAAGGTTTCTTCAGCAACCACTTCTTCACGTCATTGGGCAAAGAAGGAGGAACCTTTGGGGTAATCACTTCCCATAAAGGTCTAGCACTCCAATAAGCGTCAAATCTGTCTACTTCCTGAGAGTCAGGGTACTCATTGGGAGGACGAAGATCCCCGGAAGGAATATTCTGAAGGACAAACTTGGAAGACGGCAAAAAGGCTGCTTGTTGACGCCAACCATCCTCTCTATTTTCCACCATGGGACGACCCACTTGATAGCAAAATTACGAGATTCAAAGACCCTTCTCCACTCATGGCGCCCAATTTTAGGGAAGCGTTTCTTCCTCCTCACGAAGCAATTGGGTGTGTACTTCTCAATATTGTCCGGAGGGCTAATTAATCCTAGTCTTTCCATTAGCCACATCTGTAAAAAAAAATAAAAATTATTACAATACAAAAATATATTTTTTTGATTTCTGTAATTAAAAATATTATTTTTCTATTTGTAATAAAATTTGAGAGCCGCGAAAAGGTGCTTTTGGGTTCCTTTTCAATTCATCAAGACTAATCATAGTCTCTCCAACTACCAATGGCATTGGATTTCTCCCTGATTCAGTTTGTTCTAGTACGGTGGTTGTAATTGATTGACCTTCATTATTTTTACCACTACTAAGAAAAAATTGATTAAGCATGCAAAAAAAGAAAACCTTTCTTCTATATATATGAAAATATTCAGAAAGAGGTTTATCAAAATAATGGCGTGCAAATTCTTTCAAATTAACTATGTTGCCATCTACTATTTTTGATAAATCCCTTTCTTTTAAATTGCAGAAGCGCTCAAAATCCTTGTAATAATATGCATCTGCTCTAGGGATTATTATGAGGTCTATTGCAGGGAAACCTAAAATAGCACCAAATTCTTCCGGCAAAGGGCTAATCTCATCATACCCTATTCTAAAGCAATGAGTATCAACATTCCAATATTCTAGAGCGGTATGAATGAAATCTAATTCTTTTCTGTCTCTAGCATTAAGAGATCGACACCATTCATGGGTGTATTGGGTGAAAGTTTTGGTGACTAGAGACATGGTATTATTTTTTCTAAGGCCAAAGGATTATTTTATTTGCTGAAATTATTAGAAGAATCGGCTGGGCAGGGGGCTATTTATACACAAACTACGAGCAGTTTTAATCAGGATGAAATACGGAGACAACGCCAATTGGCGTCAGACTCCGCGATTGGCGCCAGACGCCAAAGCTTGGCACCACACGCCAAGTGTAGCACCTAGCGCTATACCTAATTATGTGGCGCCAGCTGGCGCCAATTCGCCACGTCAGGCGCGCTTTCTTAAATCGCTTTTTTTTACCTTAAGTTCGAGTCGACTAATGTCTTTACGGCTCCGATTATCTTTTTTAAACATCTTTTTATTCTTCTTTTAATAGCTATTATATTATTATATTATTCTTTTTGGATTTTATGTAGATTGATTTCTAAAGTTTGTTATAAACACAAGCTTTTATTTTTCCTTTTTTCATTTTTTCTTTTGGGGGAGAGAGTCGGATACCCTCCATCAATAATAAAAATGACGGAAGTTTTGCGCAAAATTTTTTGTCACACTTTTCTTGCACACACAAACACGCACATAAAAATAATAATAGCAAACATAAATAAATTCATAATAAGTATGTAAATACAAAATATGTCTAAAAATAGTGAGTCTAAGGCAAAGTTCTATACAAAGTCAAAATAAAAAAAAATCACAGGAACAAACTACGGCGCCGGGGGACGTATACCCATCATATCGTAAAATTACGTCGTACGTTGAGTAACCACTCCCCCAGCTCCAGCTCAAGTCTCCGCAGGAGGTGGAAAACTCAATGCAAGTCCACTCCACCCAAGATCAACCAGAGGCTGAGGCTGCGGAGGCTTCTATGATGACGAGCCCACCTCGTACATCCCACCACCTCTAAAAGCCGAGGTAGCTTCTCCCTGGCCTACCAGTGCAGCATGAGCACCCTCAGAAGAAGATCCCGAGCCCTCCACAACATCAGCACGAGCAGCCTCAGAGCTACCGCCTCTACCCCCTAACGTAGTACGACGACGTCTCGAGCTAGACCTCGCCGGATCACTCCGCACCTCAGGTCTCGTGCGGGTGTGAGAAGCAATAGGCTGGCCCTGCAAAAAGAATTAAATCAAAAACAAGGCAAAATCAAAGCGTTAATGCAAAAATATATAAAGAAAGACTACCTCTCGGACGACGTCGTCCCGACGGCAGGTAGCTGCACTTCTCATCCGGACGAGCTAGCTCCAGAAGGCATCTATATATCGTGCCATCGCCGAAACCACCTCGCGCGAGAACTGTTAAAGAAATAAGTTAGTAAATATGCATAATATATATGGACAAAAATTGCAAATAAACTAAGCTTACTCGAGTCTGGTGGCGAGGAATCGACCGCTCTACGAAGCGCTCATCCTCGGGAGCTGGAGGAATCATCTCCTCGATTGGCCCGTATGTCCCCTGGTAATGGATGGACATACGAGGTGGCACGAACTCAGCAGCACCGTCCTGATAAAGTAAAAAACCAAGTCAGTAAAGCATTACTTGGGGGCTACTTAACGGAAAATAAAGGCTGAAAAATCTTACCCTCACATCCTCAGCCGGTACGCGGGCTAGAGCTAACAACGGAAGTAGCTTCTCAGCATAGCACCGCCCGGGGATCGCGTAAGACCGCCAAGGGGTACCAGCTCCCTCGGACATGCTCAACAACCGTGCGTCGTCGAACATGTGACGTGGTGGAGTGAGCGAGAACAACAGAAACATCAGAGGAATGCTGTCTAGCAACCCCCTCTCCCAAGTACGCGATCACTCCATAAGTCCCCAGGAAATAGCGACGCTCAGCAGAGTACTGTGCGGCTAACCCAGGGACTGTCCAGCCGCCCCACGACCGATATACCACCTCAGGCCCCTGCAAAGAACATTAATCAGGCGAGAGTCTACCTAAAGCGTCGCAAAAAAGGCAAATAAATAAGAACAAATTGTACCGCGATAATCCAGTCTCGGACATATGTAGTGGGCATATCCACACGGCGGCCGCCCCAAGAAGCGCTCACTAGAAATCCGCGCGGCGATGGTCTCGCCGACGCAGCAGAGGGGAAGTACTCATAGAACCAAATCTACAAGGAATTAAAATCGTAAGTAAATGCTAGCTAAAATGTAAAGCTAAACTTTATAGGGAATAATGTTTACCTCTACAACCTTCCAAAAGGCGGACAAAGAAACATTCTTGCCAAAAGACCGGTGTCGACACGAGTCCCTCAGTGCACGAATGAAGTCAGCGTAGGCCAAGCTGGCCCAGTCATAAGTCCCGATCCAGTGTAGATCGCGGACAACAGGAAGGTAGTAAAGCAACGCCCTACTACCCTTGTAAGGAGAGAACGACCCTGACAACAACATCAGTGCAAAGATGCGCACGTGCTGCTCTCGAGAGGTCGCATTGTCATCAAAAGCCGCTGCCAGCGTCGAGCGGCGAATCCCCTTGGCACTAAACTGAGACGTCTCGACCTCAGCTCGGGCCCGAATAGTGATCGACCCCAACAGTTCCTTGACCTCGGTAGAGAAGACGTCGATTCCACTGTCAAACGACAGTGGCACAGAGTTGAACTCTAGTCCTGTGATGAGACTAAAGTCCGTGGGGGTGACCATCATCTTGCCCCAAGGGAAGTGAAAAGTGTTGGTAGTGTCCCAGAAGAACTCAAGCAAAGCACGCACTATATGGTGACCCCCACAAGAGGAAACCATCGCCTCGGAGGTCTCAAACAAGGTAGCCAGTCCACAAGACTCCCATAGGAGTCTCGTCTCAAGATCCATGGCGGTGTACATCTTGTACAAATCGCCCAAGCCATCACAGCCGGAACCCTCGTATAGCGCGTCTTCCCGACCGTGATGCCCCGTCTAACCCTCTTAGAAATGTGGTGGACGGGGGCAAAGAACAGGGTCCGCTCATCCCACTCGGGGAGTCGACCAAGCGAAGTAGATGGTGTAGCGTCGTCCTCTACGGGCTCATGCTCCCGTCGAGTGTTTCGGGACCGTGAACCCGAACCTCGCTGTCTAGCCATACTACATTGTGCACAATTATCATAAATTAAAGTTCTATAGTATCTAAGTTTCGCCTAGCCGCATGATACTATGTTCGCAAAAAAAACAGAGTACGAAGTACTAAAACATATCACAAATTCAAAATGAGCATATACGGCATTCTTCAATCAGTCAAACAATTTCTTGCAATACTATGGTAATTATTGTACAAATTGGACAAGAATTGCTAGCAAAAACATCAAGAACGGGTCACATTGTTCTTCACAACCTTAAAAGGTCCAACAATGGCAAATTGCTCATTTCTTCACCAAATTGAGTCAAACACTCAAATTTCTCCCAAGGCAATATATAAACATAATCAAGCAATTTCATGGCATAAAATTTGATAAACAAAGTGAATTAAGCATTCTAATTTTCGAATTTACATGAAATTTGTGAATAAATATATCAAAAATTCATAAAAACTGATGTTAGTTTGAAGAAAACTTACATATATTGGGAAAATAGATGAAAAGAGATTTAATTTGAAAAAAATTTGAGTGAATTCGGTTGAGGAACGAGCAAGAACCAAGCAAATGAAGTTCTGCGGTTTTTTCGAGCAACTTATGCGACGAGCAAATGGCAAAATGAAGAGGAAAGGGGTATTTAAGGAAAATCCCGTGCTGACGCCAAGCTCTAGGCAGTGGCGTCAAGAATCAGGCTAGGCGCCTGGCGCCACTCCTAGCGTCTGGCGCTAAGGTTAATTGTTTGGCGTCAATGGCTTTTCAGCGGCACCAGAACGCTCAACTTCTCAGTGAGGTTGTTCTACCTCTTTGCAACATATTTTGGGTTCCTTTTTACGCCATTTAGCCCCTCTAAGCAATTTGACACGATTTTTAGGAATCAACTTGATTGTACAAAGTGATCGACCTGATGAAAGATCGTCTCACTTAGCTTAAAGCGCCTAAGCATTGACTCATTAACAAAAAGGCACCGACATAGTGGTCCGTTCAGCAAAAGGCACCGATGTACAGGTTCAAAGCAATGGAAGCGCCGACGTACAGGCATAGCGGGAACAAAGTTCAAGCGAGCTTTTCAAAGATCGAAAAGCGTGGATCTTCGGTAATTCTCTTTGGAAAATTATCGCAACGAATGGGAGTTTGTTTCAAGAGAAATAATCTTCGATAGTATTCCCTTGGACGCGGAATATAATCAATGCGGATAAGGATAGCTTCGAGAGAAATAATCTTCGATAGTATTCCCTTGGACGTGGAATATTATCAAAGCGGAGGAGGATCGTTTCAGGCGAAGCAATCTTTCAATTTGGAAGCGGTTACAGGCGTAGCGGTTTTTAAGCGGGATGGCATTCTCTAGCTTGCAGGAGGTCATTAAAGCAAATCGGTTACTTTCAGAGACGTGTGCTCGACGGTGTAAGATACGCGTTTCTTAACTCCTTTATCTATTTAACTAACGCTAGTTTGCAGGTATCGACGTTATAAGAGTGGTTTAGGATCGCAGAACGTTCTGAATCATTCGATGTCCCTATCGATACTTTGACTTTTGTTTTCGAAACTTGCGTTTCTCCAAACTCGGTCAAAGTGGGGGCTTCTGTAGACACCCATTTGTGTCTCCCCAAAACCAAACCTAGTGATGAGTACCTTTCGCGTCGAATCACAATCGAATGAAGCGAAAGTGTAGAAAGTTTAGTGTTGCGGATAGTTTTAATTTCTTTTCTTTTCTCTCTGTTTTGGTTCGTCCATGATATGGGTTGAATAGTAGTGTAGTTGGATGGGGCTTCACAAGAGCTTTCAAACTATATATTATAAGCCCAATTCCGATGAATATTGAGGAGGTTATGGCCAATTTACTGAACTGGGCCCGTTTTGAGCCTTATATGCGGCCAAATGATCCAGAGGAGGGCCTAATATGATTTATAATTCCTAATGCAATTAGGAATGGTTTTAGTCTTCTAGATTCTTCTAGAAGGTTCTTTTCATTCCTAAATCAATTAGCATTGATAAATTGACTTTTGTTGACTTTTCAGAGTTTTAATTAAAATCAAAGAGCATTTTTTTAGGAAAGATACAATTTTATCCTCCTGTACAGCAATATTTATCTTATTTTAGAAAACGCGTGAAAATATGAAATCAGCGCCAAACGCCAGCTGTAGCGCCTGGCGCCAGCCTTGGCGCCTGGCGCTAGTGTTGGCGCCTAGCGCCAACAGCCAGCGTTAGCGCTGTTTCGTTTTTCTGTGTGCCAATGCTCTGTTTTGTTAATTTTATCTTTTTTGCTGATTTTCTCTATAAATAACGTATTAAAAAACTCCGTTTTCATTCACCAATTCTCATCAACGTTCATCTATATTCACCTACAACCATAATTCAATTCTCTTTCATTCACTTTAATCATTCGCTAATTCTCATACAGATTTCTTTAATCATTCATCCTTCTCTCTTTTTCTAAACTCGCTTTTCAAATGCAACATTCCGCATTCATTAGTTCTAAAAATACCTAGCCATATTCAAAGTTGCTTTCGCCCTAGACGTGAAAGGTTTAATTTCTGAGGGTTTGATCCCAAATCTCTCTTTCAATTATTTAATTTAATTGTTTGTTTATTATTTTCCTTGAAGTTACTAATGTGTGTATTTTGTAATTAGAAAGAGATACGAGGCATCAAAGTAAGTACTTAAATGGTTTTAATTGATATTATGATATAGAAATCATGTTTAAATTGTTATGATATTCCTAGTATCATGTCTAGGGTAATTTTAATATTAAATATGATTGTTACGATGCCTATTATTTTCTTCCTAATATTTATGATTGTTAGTATCATGTTAGGGTTAAAGATTTGATTTTTATTGCTTAGTGACATGCTAGGGTTTGTTATTAATGTTGTTAGTATCATGCCTAGGATTTTTCTATGCTTTGACATGATGATTATTATGATTATTATAGTTATTATTATGATTATAACTTTATGATTTTATGATTATTGTTATTATGATGATTATTATTATGATTATAATAATTATTATTATTGATTTATTATTATTTTGCTTGATATTTATTATTTTTTGCTTGATCACACATTTTATGCATGTTTAAAGGGAATTTGGTATTTGTAATAACGCTTAATAAGATAATTTAATAATTTTGTTTAGGGTTAATTTGATTATAATTCAAGTGATCGCCAATGATAGATTTATTTGTGCATTAAATTCAACCAACATAGATAAACAGGTTTAGGGTTAAACCTATTTATTGCATGTTAGTCAGAAAGCGCACATGAATACGATCATAATAAAGTAGAGGCCTATTATTAGGGCAGGTTCAATCTCTTTTAGGTTGGATTTGTACCTTCATCCCCAAACCCTTATTTGGTTCTAGACCAATTGGAGTTGACGATCTCTTGGATCGTTAAGGGGTGTAACCTTCACCCTGTGAACGGTTTACAAGTTCCTAAAACTTGTTGGCGACTCTTTTTCTCTATCTTATTTCCCTTTGGACACCACCGTACTTTAGTGTATGATCACAGTGGGGTTTGGATCCTACACAACTAAAAAGATTTTTGTGAGGATTTTTCTTTTTCTTCTTCTACTTTTTCTTCTTATTTTCTTGATTTTTCTTTTGATTCTTTTACTTTTTCTTTTCTTCCTTCTCTCAAGCATAAAGTCTCCTTGAAATATTCCCTACACAACTAAAAAGATTTTTGTGAGGACATTTCTTTTTCTTCTTCTACTTTTTCTTCTTATTTTCTTGATTTTTCTTTTGATTCTTTTACTTTTTCTTTTCTCCCTTCTCTCAAGCATAAAGTCTCCTTGTACTTTATTTGGCTCTTCAATGGAGTTCAATGCTGCTAAGGAAAGTTGAAGAAGAAGATCTGATTGTTTGGTGGGAATTGTGGGTTTATTTTATTTTACTTTATTTTCTTTTTCTTTTATTTTCTTTTTTCTTTTCCCTTTTCTTATTTCTTTCTTTTATTTTTATAATTAGTTTTCTTATTTTATTTTTCCTTTTACTTTCTTTTCTTTTCTTTTATTTTTCTATTTTTCCGAGCTTAGTATATATACCCATTTTGGGGTAATTAGAATGAATATACAATTACCATCTATTCTACTCTCTAATTAGTTTTAGGAGAGCTTCTCTCTCTAGGTTTAGGTTAGGATTAGGATAGTTTAGAGAGAAAAAGTGAGGGTTTCACCATTGTTGAGCTTTGATATTGAAGAAGAAGATTGACTATCTTTTTTGTAGATTTTCACATTCAATCAATGAGAATCTCTAACTCTCTCTCCTCTATTTTTATTTGCTTTATTTTGATTATTATTTTAGTTGTTGGTATTGCTTGTTAATCATGTTTATTCTTGATTGTTTGTTAATTAATCTTGTTATTAGCATGATTAGTGATTAATTTCCCCATTAAGGGGATTGTTGTGGTGTAGTTGGATCTTGAGCATGTTCTAGGGTTTAGAATTGATTTATTTGTGATTAAAGTTTTTATATGCTTGACATTCTTTAATCTTCTTGTAAGTGCACATTGTTGGTTGATTAAAGGTGAATCTTTGCTAACAAGGAACGGAAGTTGACTTAGTTAAGGTTCATTACTATCGATTGTTATTTAATAGTACCTCCTAGTATATGGTTCTAATGTGGAAACATAGAGGCTATTTAGGAGAAGCTAATTGACCTCGGAAGGCGGCTAGATTGGATCCTTTACTTCGATATTCGAGCATGTTTAGTTCATAATTAATTCAATTTCTATGCCTTTGTTTATGTTCAAGTGAATGCTATACCTAATCCATTTC